AGCCTCATTTCTTTTTCTATGAGGAGAATTGAGGGGCACAACAGGTTAGAAGGGAATAGATTGGAAGTGGAGAAATAAGCTGGCAGGCTACTCTAAACATTCAGTTGAAAGTGGACAGGGGTTTGGGCTCCAGCTGTGGTAAGGAAACAGACAGAGTGAACAGGTTTGAGAATTACTGGGAAACTGACTCATTAGGACCTAGTGATGGACAAGATGGCAGGGGTGAGAGGATAGAGAGGTATGGAGGACACAGGTTCCTAACTTGAGTGGATGGATGGTAGTGCCATTTACTAAGATGGAGAAGTCCAATGAAGAAAGATTGGACTTTGGAGAAAGAAATCCAAGAGTTCAATTTTGGGCTGGGTAGGGTGGCTCATGACTGTAATCCTAGCACTCTAGGAAGCCAAGGCGGTAGATTGACTAAGCTCATGGGTTCAAGACCAGCCTGAGCCAGAAAGAGACCTTGTCTCTAAAAATAGCCGGGTGTTGTGGCAAGCACCTGTTGTCCCAGCTACTTGGGAGGCTGAGGCAAGAGAATCGCTTGAGCTATGACGCCATGGCACTCTACTGAGGTTGTCAAAGTGAGACTCTGTCTGAAAAAAAAAAAAGAAGAATTCAATTTTGGATACAGTAAGATTTGGACCCCAGTGAATCACACAAATAGAGAAATCAAATAGACAAATGGATATATGGATTCAGAATTCAGAGAAGTAGCTAAATTTAGTGTTGGTGCTCATTACTATCCCTAAACCATTAGAGATAGGGCCAAGGAGACACATGCATGGAAGGAGCACAGACCTGAGCTGGGCATCAGGAGATCTGAGTTCTAGTTCCAGTTCTGTCAGTAACTACCCTCTCCAAGCTTCCCTTTCACCATCAGTAACACAAGGAGCTTTGCCTAGATCAGGGCTACTTGGTTTTTAGATAAAATGTACTTTCTCTCTTCCAAAATAAATAAAAAAATTTTTAATTACATTTTTAAATTATTTTTATTTTTTTGGCCGGGGCTGGGTTTGAACCTGCCACCTCCGGCATATGGGGCCGGCGCCCTATCCTTTTGAGCCACAGGCACCACCAATAAATAAAAATATTATAGGCCAGGCACGATGGCTCATGCCTATAATCACAGCACTTGGGAGGCCAAGGCCAATGGATTATCTGAGTTCACGAGTTCCAGACCAGCTTGAGCAAGAGTGAGACCCTGACTCTTAAAAAAAAAAAAAAAAAAAAGCCAGGCATTGTGGCGGGTACCTGTAGTCAAAGCCACTTGGAAGGCTGAGGCAAGAGGATCGCTTGAACCCAAGAGTTTGAGGTTGCTGTGAGCTGTGACACCGTAGCACTCTACTGAGGATGACCAAGTGAGACTCTATCTTCAAAAAATATATATTATACATGATTTCAGGGGTTCACCCAGTTCCTGGAACCTTTCCATAGAGGCCAAATTAAGGACTCCTAGGCCACACTGCCAGAAAAATGAAGTTTAGGAGGCCCTCCTTCAATATACTTTAAATATTTTTTGGTCTTCCAGTTTCCCCTAGAGAATAGGACAGGTATTAAACCATGAAGAAAGCACAACAGGGTCTAGTTTTCCCTTGCTTTCTATAAAAAACTGTCCATTACATGAAGCTAGCCAGTGTAACCAAAGTGCCAATGGAAATAAGTGCTGGAAAGGAGGAGAATCATTGGTTACAAAAGAGAGTAACACATAAGGCCTGAGGGTGCTGCCTACACTTCCAGGTTTATCTTCATTTACTCTAGCTTCCTAGTTTATGTTCCATACAATTCGGACTATACACACTCTCCCCTTTCTTGGAACGCCCTTCCTCCATTTTCACATGTTCAAACTCTACCCATCCTTCAAAGCCTGAAACGCCTTCTTTATTTCTCCTACCCCTTCTCTCAAACTACAAGCAATCTTGGCCTACTCTGAACATCCACATACTTTGTATCCCTTTTAAGGAACTTGCCACGATTCCCTTGTTTTATAGCTGTGTGTACATCTTGCCTCCCCTGTTCAGACAGTCCTGTTCATCTCCTTAAGACCTCCCTGGATCTTTCTACTTTCCAGCCCCAGAGCTACTGCTTCTCAAAATGTCACTACCCCAGAAGGCAGGAACAACACCTGTTACCTTTTATAGAGAGCATTCACATATATCCTTTACCTCATCTAAGTAAGAACTGGATCCCAGCCACCATTGCCTACTCAGACCTTGGTCTCTTGCCTTGTCACCAGTTTCACCTGACCCCCAAGTGATAGCTCCTCCACCCCTCACCAGTGTCCATTCTGCACACTGACATTGGATATTTTTCTTTAAAGTCTGATTATGTCACTTCTCTGATTAAATATATATTAATTTTTTTTTTTGAGACAGAGTCTTACTATGTCACTCTCGGTAGAGTGTCATGGCATCACAGCTCACAGCAACCTCAAACTCCTGGGCTAAGAGATTCTCTTGCCTCAGCCTCTCAAGTAGCTAGGACTACAGGCACCCACCACAATGCCCAGCTTTTTTTTTTGGTTGTAGATGTCATTGTTGTTTGGCAGGCCCAGGCTGGGTTCAAACCTGCCAGCTCCAGTGCATGTGGCTGGCACCCTAACCCCTGACCTACAGGCACTGAGCATGATTAAATATATATTAATGGCTGCCAATTGTCTTCCTCAGGTGTTCTCAACTTCAGTGTTCCAAACTCCAGATTTTGCACTGTCTGCATCTTGTGTGATATGTCCCAAATAGATTCTCATTATTAATGAAGTGCTAATTAAGCAATTTACAAATATAGAGCATTTCTTTTTTTTTTTTTTTTTTTTTGAGACAGAGTCTTACTATATTGCCCTTGGTAGAGTGTCGTGGTAACAGCTCACAGCAACTTCAAACTCTTGGGCTCAAGCAAATCTCTTACCTCAGCCTCCCAAGTACCTGGGACTATAGGCACCCACCACAACACCCGGCTATTTTTTGTTGTTGTCCTTGTCATTGTTGTTTAGCAGGCCCGTGCTGGGTTCAAACCCACCAGCCCTGGGATATATAGCCAGTGCCCTAACCACTGAGCTATGGGCGCCAAACCAATAGAGCATTTAAGATTAGTACCCAGCACATAGTAAGCATTTCATAGGTATTAGGCATTACTAACACTAACATATTAAGATATGAGAGAGGTGGAGCAGATGCTTTTGGTGTGCTATAGACATCCAGTGGCCACTTCTGATTTCACCTGCAGCTGCAGCAGACAGTCCTGTTCAAGTTGACAGAGTTTCTCCCCAAGACCCTTCTGGATCTTTCTGCTTTTCTGCCCCAGAGCTGCTGCTTCTCAAAATGTCACTCACCCCATGAGCAGAGAATCCCAGAAGTACACAGGCACTAGACAGCATTAATTTTCATTCAGTGAATATCTTGCCTTCATATATTATTACATATAACTATTGCCATGATCAGGGGGAGATAACAGAAATCTCAAGTTCAGTTTGATAAGCGGTACCTTTTTCAACAACTAAGATAGCACAGAACTCCAGGCTGCCAGCCTTACCCTCTGACTAGCACATGCTGAGAAGGGCAATACCTGAGCATCTGCTACTTTATTATTTTTTTTTTTTTTACTGTAGAATTATCTTTTAATTTTGGGTGAAAACTCACAGTAATTTTGGGGGGCTGTAATTAAGATTTAACAGCATTATAATTCTTTTTTTTTTTTTGAGAAAGAACTTTAAGCTATTTTTTGGTTGTAGTTGTCATTGTTTGGCAGGCCCAGGCCAGATTTGAACTCGCCAGCTCTGGTGTATGTGGCTGGAACCCTAGCCATTTGAGCTACAGCTGCCACCCAGCATTATAATTCTAACGAATAACTCAAATATTCCCTTGAGATAAATATAATAATATTTTATGGATATTTTGGAACTCCAGTATTAAGACTACAAATACATACTAGCCTCCATCTATCACCAATGACTCATACTGTTTCTTTCTAATGAACTGACCATTATATCTTCAAAGTTTTGAAATGCCCAACAGACCATAGAAAGATAATTCTTTTTTTTTTT